TATAGATCGAGAGGCAGGGCATTGCTGCGGGAGCGCTGCTTGTCTGCGGGAAGGAGGCCGCTGGAGAGAACCTCCTCCGGCCGCCAGGAGACGGCGGGAAACACGGGGCCGGTGTTCTAACGAAACATCCTACCCATCAAAATGACCTACTCACTGATACTACGCATGCGCAGACCAAAATTTCGCGACTTTTCTTGAAGCTTACCAACTGTTCGTCGATCTATCCTACCTAGTGCTGAAGTTTGAGGTAAGTGTTACTGTATTTCAGTAATATGTATGCTTTTCTTAGCCTTACTACATTAATGCATTTATTACAGTTTACTGCATAGGTATTTACTGTCAACATTTTATAAGTTGTATATTTTGCATGTGTGACTTTTAATCTTGTACAGGCCATTGTAGCCATGCACGAGTAATGACCGTCTTGTGAAATCTTTGCATCAGGCTGTGTCTCTTTCGGGCATTAAATGATGCATATAGAATAAATGTTAACATTTCCATAAATTTGATATACGACTTCTAAATACAACATGTTAAATGATGACATGGTATAACGTTATAAGTTTAATAAACGGATGGGTGTAACATATACGGTGTATATACCATTAATGCCAAGTAATATGTTGCTTTTGTTGACATAGTGTGTAATAAATAAACTGTTAATTTAATGTGCTAATTAGAACTTGTTTATTTTGCTTTTTTAAGCTATGGAAAAAAAGTGGGAAGAAATTCTCAACTTTTTGTCTGCGGGATCATACCCTGATGGGTATGATAAGTCTCAGAGACAAGGCCTCAGGAGATATTCCTCCAAATTCACTCTGAAGGGTTAGTATAATAAACACTATATATCTGATGTTCTATCAATTTAATTCTGGGATTAAATAAGTATTACTTTCAATATAGAAGGGGAACTCTTCTTTGGAAGTCGGAGGGTCATCAAGACCAAAAAGGAGGCAAGGGAGCTGTTCAAGGAGTTCCACTCCTCTCCTATTGGCGGGCACACAGGTGTATTGAAAACCCGCACTGCCATGTGCTCCAGATTTTACTGGCTTGGCATGTCCGTGGATGTTGATAACTGGGTATGTTTTTTCCATATTATTGTTTTTTTAAATTAAAATAATATTTATTTTAAATAACTAAAATATTGTGTATGGTTTTAACTTTGATTATTTTCATGTTAAAGGTTTTGGAGTGTGACAAATGCCAAAAGGTTGGCAGACCTTTGACTGTTGCTCAGCCACTCCAGTGTATTAAGGTAAATGTGTAATAGTAGACAAAAAAATCTCACAATTTACTTTGGGACCCTCATTGACTCTTTTGTGCAGCAACATAAGTAATCCATTTGCTATTGAGCAATTTTTGTTAGTTTGGATGATTTGTTTATTTATATTTTGAAAAATTGCTTGTCTAAAAGGTGTCTGCTGTCTGGGACCTTATTGGAATTGACCTGACGGGCCCATTGCCAAAAACATCAGAAGGCCACCAATACATTTTGACTGCCACTGATTACTTTTCAAAGTGGGTCGAAGCATATCCATTAAAAACAAAATCTGCTGGAGAGGTTGGACGGTATCTGTGCTCCATAATATATAGGCATGGATGCCCCAAACGAATCCTGTCTGACCAAGGCAGGGAATTTGTTAATGAAGTAAGCTTTTATTTTATATTCG